ACTAAGTGGCATTATTGAAGAATCTTTATCTTGAAATACCATTGAATAATAAAATACGTCATTTTGATCTTTCAATTTTCGAACAACCGAACCAGTAGCATCGATGTATAAGGTCGAATACTTTTCGGTTTTACAATACTCGGCAAATCGATCCAACTGTGCTTCAGTAAAGAAGTGAATAGTGAACGGCCATTCACCACTTGTTTGCATATAACCTGTATGAGAAGAAAAATTGAAATTTATACTTTTTTACTATTCGTATTACTGCATATTCGACTATATGCGTCAAACAAGGACAAAATTTAATAAAAGTATCACTAGAAGAACATCAAAACATTCAAACATACTATAAATAAAAAGTTTTGTCGTCTTCGTACTATATTATTAAATTGAAATTCTTCTGTTTTACTCTCACTTTTAGATCTTTAGGTTCGTTTTGTCTAATTATTTACTTTTATAAAGAAAACACACTTGATACTATAGTTTCTTCCTTATATTAAGAAAAGTGTTGTATCCTAAAACGGCCTAAATAGTATGACAGTAGACTGAACTATAAAAGAGATATTCTCTTTTTGCTCGTCATCGTCAATGCATCCAAAATGTCAATTCTTACTAGAGTGTGAACTTTCTTACCTTTAATATCTTTAGAAGTATGATCAATTGATCGTGTGAGATATCCAAACATGCGTACGTCTTTGAAAATATTTTCATCAAGTTGATATTTCCTATTATACTGTTGTTTGGTTCTCTTCAATACATCTATTGATGAAACTTCACTAAAGTTCCCTTCTTTTAGAAGATCTTCATTAGCATATCGTAAATTACGTTCATAGATGGCTAGGGGTCCATGTTCATTAACTTCTTTTGCTAAAATAAAAATTAAATACAATAGGTTCATGAACAATTGAACGTATACGCATAGCTTCTCGAGCAGCTCCAGTCAATGGACGGCCAGTCGTTTCCTTCTTTGGATCGTGCTTTTTATCACCTATAACCACCACTTTGAACACACATGGACTTCCTTTATTTTTCACTTCATGTTCAACGTCGATTTCAATCCTCACAGGACACTCGCTATTTTTACAGTGACCTCTGGCACTGAATAAATTGGAATTCTTTTTCAGTGAAGTAGGATCTCGAATATGATGAAATCGAAAAATGATCGTACACGTGATACCCAGTGTAACTAAATGCGGAGCAAGTTGATTTCCCCAGCCATTGTATACATCATAGGTTTTGTGATCGCAGAAAGCTCGCCATTGCTCGTAAGTCATTGTAAAATACTGTACATTACGAGGTGTTAAAACATCTTTTGATCGCATAACTTTCGGTTCATTGGAAGGCACTATTGATAAAGCAGCATTACTGACCACCTATACATACATATAAATTATCATGA